ATGAACTTGCACCCTTACATTGGAATGATTTAATTGTTCAAGAGTTGTTAAACAAATAACTAAATCATTAATCTTATACTAGTGGTATGTTTACATCGATGGATTCCATGTGCTATATATCTTGGTTGTAGTCTATATAGATGCACACTATGATTACTTGACGTTTCACATGCCATCATAGTTGAGAACTTAGGACATGACTTGTGTGTTCCAAAATCTTGGTTGTGCATAAAATGTGGTTTAATGCATTACTTGTATCTCGATACACTCTTGGTTGTACAACTTGTTAATTTTGGGACTTGAGATATCAATCAAGAATTGACATGGCTAGGACTTGGTTCTAGTATGGGAGATAGAGAGCTCTCTACACTATAGTGCGCACTAGGGGAAGGTACCCATGGGTTAGTAGCCCTAAAGTGATCCCAAGAGTACGGTTTTAATCCAGGCGATATCCGAGTATCCACATTGGTTGATTTCACTCTTTAAATTTCAAGTTGCTATTCCTTGAAGATTTAAACTTTGTCGTGTTATATGAAATGTTCCAATCTTGTTTACTTGCATAGATATTATGCCTTATTCTTGATTACATGTATTAAACTTGTCGTGTTATGTGGAATGTTCCATTCTTGTTTAATCGCATATCCTTGATTTCATGCATTATCCTTGATTTCACGCCTTGTCCTTGTCGTGTTAATTGAATTGTTTCAATCTTATTAATTTTCTTAGTTATCTCATTTCATGTTACTTTATGCTATCGTGACTTAGGAATGATCCTAGACATGTAACTTGACTTAGATTCTAGGTGGCATGGACCACATGTAATGATTTATATCAACATGCAAAATCTCTAAACCCTTAGATTTCAAGTGTTATTATATGGAGTATTTCCTACCTTATTTAATTACATAGACATTATGCTTACTTCGTGTATTTAGACCTCATTCAGTATACTTGAAACTGTGCACTTGCTTCTTGCATCTAGATTCCATTTAGTATACTCGTGTCTTATATACTTGATTTGTGTGTTTCCGATCTCGTTTAGTATACCTATGTTTTATATACTTACCTCGCATGTTTTCATCTTTGTTTAGTACAATTATAACTGGTATGCTTGTATGTCGTGTATCTCATTTCAATTGCATGAGTAGTTTGAGATGATCCCTGAGTCTCACTTTGACATAAACGTTAGGTGGCATAACCCTTTTTAATTGTTTCAAGTTAATGTAAAAATCTTTAAAGAAATCGAATATATACATGCTCATTCTCTACGAGTAAACTTGTTTACTCACCCCGAAGTTACTGGGGGTTTTGTTCAGGTACGAAGACTTGGTTCATGATGCTCACCATTCCGTGGATGACTTGTAGCTTTTAAGTTTCCATTTCATGCAAATGTTAGCATGAAATGCCTTTTTGTAGCTTTTTATGTCAAACTTGTAGATTTGATTCTATGTATGTAATGTGTACATAAGTACACCTTTCGCAATGTATTTGACATGTATGAGATGAGGCCGGAGGCCAATGACATGTATTTTGTATTCTATGTAAATTTCGACTTCATGAAATATTATGAAAATATTAAAAAATGCCAAGTTATTGTCTCGCTATGGGTGCATCGGGTGTGGGAATTCAATTTTCATTCTTTCATAGGGTCTCATTAATCATGTATGAAGTGTGGCCAAGGGCCAAACAGTAATTTCCAATCATTTGTTAATTTTGGTTTTCAAAATTTTCATTTCAAATTCATTTTCGCCTTTTTGGCCGTCGGGAGGTCGGATTTTGTATCGGTCGTTTTCAGGAGCCGTGGACCATTCCCACGCGCTCAAAATCATTTATTATGTTTGCGTGCATATTTGTTTCAGTTTAGAAATGCATTTGGCGTCAAATGCATGCTTGGTGCAAAGTTGCATTTTCGTCGTTTTGAGCCTAATCTAATCCAGGGGCATTCTAGACATTTCGCAGCGAGTTTTTTTGTTTCCGTCCACATAGTCGGGTAGAAAAGATGATTTTGATGGTGGGGGGGGGGGGGTGTTTCTTCTTTCTATTTTTTTCAAAAAGGCCCAGAAAGTCCTCAAAATCACATTTCAAACTCAAAAAGCTGCTAAGCTTGTCAGCAGGACGAGCGTTCGTCCATGGGGTACGAGCGCTCGTAAATGGGGCAGTGGGATTTGGCCCTGGGCATGCTCATCTACGAGTGCTTGTATCCCTTGCACGAGCGCTCGTCCGTATTGTTCGTGTGTGTGTGTGTGTTTGGTTCAACACTGCACTTCCAACTTCGGGTCATCATATCTTCTTCATTTTAACTCCGAATTGGTCCGTTCTTGAGTCTAAATTGACCATGCCGAAATAAGCTTTCCAATGGTACTAATTTCAGTTTCACATTCCATTTGTGGCTTAAGATATTCAAGTTTTATTAAGGTAGTGTCAGAATTTGGTTCGAACCGGGATGGGGTTTCCCTTCCTTCAACTTCAGGACTTGATATCTTTGTCATCCGGACTCTGAATCAAGTGATTCTTGAGTCCATATTTGTTAATTTTTCATTTTCTATCCAATGGTGTACACGGGAGTGCCCATTTCAGTTTGGAATTACCATTTTACCCTTTTAGCCTTAAGTACTCATTTTTCTTCGTCCTGCCATTTCTCTTTCATCCGGATTCCGAATCATGTGATTCTTAAGTCCATCTTAACTAGTTTTTCATTGTATTTCCATCGGTGTGCTTGGTGGCACCCGAATCCATATTTTTTGAAATGACTATTTTGCCCCTAGGGGCTTAATTGTTATTTTTCTGATCTTTTGCTTCCGCTTCAGTTCTCATTGAGTTCCACGACCTCATGGAAGGTCATCAAAGTGTCTTAGAGATGTGTTGTGCCTTGGGAGACCGTGGTCTTGTTTCTTACTTCCGCATTTGGATCCATTCCGGGTCGTCACAAAACACGCTAGGTTGAAAAATCCAGGGTCGTCACATAAAGATTGCATATATAGGAGGTGGTTTGGGGATAGGTGAGTGATAAACAAGTAACCTATAGATACTAATATTATAGGTGTAATCATATAGAGTAATTTGTAGTATGCAAGAAATCTAGGTGGTAGGTTTTTTTTAAATTTTTTTCCCTGGTCCAAAAAAAAAAAAAGAAAAAAAAAAAAAAAAAAAAGGAAAATAAAACCAAACCACTAAGCAGCATGATCCAAAGTATCCAGTTCAATAGCCTTCAGCACCTGGGATGGCCAAACATCCCAACTTACATCACCAGATTGAGAGGCCATTGCCAATTGACTGATAATATGAGCAACCGAATTATTTTCTCTCGGCGTCCAATATGAATTGGATATCTTCCACTAAAGGAAAGGAGAGGGGGTCATGTGGATTAAAAGTAAAGATGGATAAGTAATCACTTTCTATATCTACCTTGTCATATCCCCATTGGATTAGCATATTCATTCTTTCGCGAAAAACCCAAGCCTCAGCAACCTCTGAACTGGCCACATGAGAAGTAAAAACTGATGCAATTCTAATTGGATTACCATTAGAATTTCTCAAAATAAGACCACCACCAGCTTCTTTGGAAATAGATCTAAAGGCTACATCAATATTGAGCTTAACTCGACCTTCAGTTGGAGGAACCCAGTGAGAGGGAGAAACCAACCAAGAAGAAGAAATCATAGAAGGAATACATTGATCAAGGAAAGCCCAAAACTCATTAAAATTAAACTAAGCTCGTTCCACAATGTTCTTTGGATTCCATTTTATACTATTGAAACAAAAGTCATTTCTTTCCTTCCATATCTACCAACACATGAATAAAAGCAGGCTTATAAGTTGGTCAAAATATTCAGCTTTCTTCCACTGATCCGTTAATTGCTCCATATCGATCTAGGTGGATAAACTTGTAATCTAACACATATAATGATCTAAATGTATATTTGTGCTTCTTTTTATATGTATCTCAATTTTTTTTTTTTTTTTGGATATTTATAGACAACCCTAGCGAAACTTTCCAAATAGAATCGGTAAGGACGGATCCAGAAATGCATAATAGGGTGGACTAATCTATTCTGGGGTGAGCTAGTACTACTATTTTTTTTTTTTTTTTGGTTGGGCTTAAATTACCTCTAGTATTTTTATTTTTTTATTTTTTTATTTTTTTTATTTATTTATTTTTTTTTTTGAGCCTATCCGTGAATCCGCCCTTGACTGACTTGGTAAGAATTTACTTGAAAAACTTGAAAAAATACTGTTCACGTCTGTCAATTGATACCCATGTAAGGGTCGGTGGATCAACGTACGTCAATCGATATAGAGTTGAATATCGATTGATCGATATTTTAAAGTACTAAGATCGACAATTTGCCTTTATACCCTTATTGGGTTGGCTCTTTAAATGGGCTTCTGCTTTTGCCTTTTGGTGGTCTTCCGGCCAAAGGCCCTCCTTGTAATTGTTTATTTTATTTATATCAGTTGCTTGAAATTTTGAAAAAATAAAAAATAAAATAAAACCTTTATACCCTTATTTTGAAGAAGTTGACAAATATGTTCATTATATAAACTACTTCATCCAAAACTCACTAATCACCTAATCATCAGACAACTTATATAAACTAAATGTAGTCTGAAATTACATTGTACAGTATCAATTTTGTACGATAAATTTTGCCAACTTAAGAATAAAAATCTAACTTCAAATCAGCACTGTGAAATAGATTAGGTATCTAATTTCAAGATGCAACAAACATACGTATTCACATTGATGTGCTACTTTTTAGTGGCATCTAGCAGTAGCAATGGCAGGAACCAAGACATAGATATGGCCAAGAACAATGGCAATGTCTTTATTTCTGCCATAATAAATTAAAATGGACGGAATAATTTAATTGAAGAATGCAAGAATTTGCTAGAGATGCCGACATCCAAATACTCTGGAGATGATATTTTTTAAGGTTATTGATCTCAAAGACATAATCCGACTGAATTAATTTTGGAGACATACAAGAGGCACTGTGGTATTTGAGAACAAAAATGAAGGGAAATAATTCATTTGAACTATTCAAGAATTTACTTGAAATCATCATCATCGTCTATGGATTCTGGAGACAATCTTTTTTTAGGTAATTGATCTCCAAGTGTTAGTCCAGGCTTCGTAGCATTTGGCACACCTTCTAGAGAATTTCTTACCAGTGTTGTGTGTGCTCTTTTATGAGACTTGAACGAAGAAGGTAACCTATTCTGGACAGAACGAAAATTAGAAGATGGAAATGGCCGTTGATGTTGAGAAGATAACATGCATTTCGGGCTTAGATTTTCCTTTGAAATAGACTGCTTATCTCCTTCCACTCCATTGAGCTTTGAGCATAACATTGATTCAATAGGCACAAGCTTCCCATCCACTTGATTAGTGAAAACAAATGTGACCTGCAACAGCGTAACAATGTGAGTTTAGCTCTACCACATGGTGATAAGACATGAACAGCAAGTATTAAAATTTCTGTGTATGCGCACACAAGCGCTCAGAATGCACATAATACTATGCGTGTTCTATGTTTCATTTACAAGGAGAATGCACAATCTTTTTTGTAATAATCATTCTAAGAAAAGATAATTCTTCAAAGGAACATAAAGATATCAAACCCAAGTGATGTATAAGAATGCATTTTAAAAAAACTGAAACTGATCCCACACATGAAATTAAGGTCAAGCAAAAGATTGATTTCGTTCTCATCCAAACCCACAAATGCATATGTTTGTACTCAACTTTATCTTCTTCCACTAAACATCATGCAGATAGATAACAATATTGCATTTACAAAACCAAAAAATAAGAACAGTTTCTTACAAAACTTTGGGAACAAAGGATATCTATATCCCTCAAACCCAAAGATCCTGTTAAATCACGGTGAAAGATTATTCAGTTACTTTTTGAGCAATTGTTAATAGTAAGATCTATCTTCTAATTTGAACCCCCTATTACATGAATTCCTAAAAAATGTATAAAGTATCCGCCAAACATACGACAAGTGGACATGGGAATGGGATATGTATACGACACATTTGACTAACATGCACACTGTCTTATTCAAAAAGTCAAATTTATTATGTAACCATGAATAAAATTCCCATATTATGTTCCTATTATTACATTCTTGCCTGAATACAAGTGAAGTTCCTACATTGAACACTATATTAGATAAGAACATCGTGTTACTGTAAAAATGAATATTAAAGAATACTAATATTTAGTCGTGCCCTCATGTCATTGGGATTGGGAATTGAAAACTCTGATTCTTAGCCATATATATGCACCCGATATGCATGGTTGAGTCCATGTGAATTGTTAGGAACTTAGGATATGCAAATTATATATTATAGTTTATAATACTACAAAGATCAAAGAACACATTACACTTCAATAAACATTTATGCTCAAGAAATATTGAAACTACTACTGAGAAACAATATTTCAAGTTTATATAAAAATTAAAATTCTTAGCACCTCCTCTCCGGCTGAAGCTTGAAAAATAACATCAGGGACTGATGCTGGGAAAAAATGATGCCCCCAACTACCTAAATCCTCTTCCAAAGGACTTCCCACCTGGGTGGAAAAACATATTTTCAACGTCATAAAAATAAAAAATGAGTGCAAACCAAATATAACACCTAAATATAAATTTGGTGCCAAAATTATCTGATGAATTTACAGCAAGTGACCTGCTTCTCTGAGCTTTTTAACTTATGCAAGCAACCAGCAATGCCAGCAAATCCCCCAATATCCTCTTCATCAGACTGACAACCTTCATTTCTTGATCCAACTCCATCAATCTCCCTTGCGTTGTTAGGTCTGTCCTCTACCACTATCTCACAGGTTTGACAACGAGTGCAACTCATCTTTTCATGAATTTGTGATCTACAAAGATGATATTAGAATTAAATCAATGCAGGAAGAAGAGGTATAAATATATATCTTAAAGCATGTCGTCAGACCATGACATGTGGACGGGGCTTGCTGGGTCAAATGGACTTAAGTTGGCAAATATTGTAAAACGAGACTGGAGTCTGTAACTTTTGTTTTAATTTCTAGAATCTAATCTGGATTAGAAAATTTCAGAAGTTAGTTAGAGTTAGTTGATCACCTTGCAAGATCGAAGCAGGAAATCAAAACTACACTGAAGGATAAAAAGGAAGTTCAGCACAGTGATTCACTCACCAAAAATTAGGGTTCATGCATGCATTGTTAGGGTTTCTAAACTTCCATGATTTTGATCCAATTTGTATCCCTAAATCTTTTAAACCATCCATCAAATGAATTTTCGGAAACTTTGATCGAGGGCTTATGGAGTATCGTCGATTGATTGACAAGAATTTCTATCAATCAAGCTTTTCAAAAAAGCAGTTTCCAAGTAGATTTAAACCCTGTCAACCCTGTTCTCTCTATATACTTCTATGTTGCCTATACATGTGAATTAGTGCAATATACAATAAACAGATATAGACGGATATACACAGAGAATACACAGAGAGCATTATTTTTGAGTTTTAGAGTGCATCTTCATTTCTCTTTTTGCATTCATCATTCTGGTACTAGTGACTGGCGAGTGTGACTTTGTGTGTTGACAAATACTGCTACACAATCAATCACATAGTTCAACACAACCATTCAATCCTTCATCAGAGATTGAAGCCTGAACAACTAGTGGTTGAGACCAAAGCACTAGAGAAGCAGATTCGTGAGGAGCATATGGACGGACGGACGGGAGATTTTCGACAGAGAGTTTGGCGTGATCTGTGTCAGGAGGTAACTAAGGATTTCTTTGGGTAGAGCCTGTTAAACTCAGGTTGCACTATCTTTTTCACATGGTGGATTTTGGTTTGCCTAGACAAAGTCCCCTACTTTTTCCCATTTGGGGTTTCCACGTAAAAATCTCTATTGTCCATTGCTTCACTTTTTTTTCAACTTTTTATTGCTATGGAATGATGATTTTTATATCTGCTACAAAATGAATTTGAATTTCTGTTAGCTTTAAATTCAAAGTCGTTAATTTAGTAATTAGTTGTACAAAACCTATTTACCCCACTCTAGGTCTGGATCACAAACTTTGAGCGTCTCTCCATCAGAGCCAACCCTTTTTATTGTTGTTTATGAGTTTTGTCACGTTTTTCTTTTTCTCGATGCACGTGCATTTCAAGAGTGTGGGCCCGGGGCGAGTCTTGGACTCGGGATTAGGGCTGCAAATGAACCAACCCGAGCCAAGCTTTGGCTTGTTCGGGCTCAGCTCGTCAACTTCGGCTCGATAGAGTTTCGCCAAGCTCGGGTTCGGCTCAGCTCGGGATCGTTTACCTACCAACTATCACTGATCAAAAAAATCGCCGTCATTTCTTCCATAGAATCCGACCTCCATATCTAACAAGAAAAAATAATAATTACAGAGCATGAAATCAAACCTAACAAGGTTATGTCAACTCCATTAATAACCGGCCGTTTTCACTGAAATTTCTTAATCTCTGATTTAATCTTTTTTCTTTACCCTAAGATATGTTCGAGAGAAATAGAGAAAGAGCTGTCACATGTGGTCTGAAGAGGGTTGCCAGTGAGATCATGCGACAGAGCTGAAGAGGATGTGCCACTGTATGCTTCTAGTTCTAGGGTCTTATCTTCTCATCTCTTAACGTTAGCAAACCAAGGGCTAAGATATATTAGATTTTAAGGGCTGAGATGAAGTCTTATTTGAATAATGGACTAATGAATTACTCCCTCTGTCCTAATAAAAATGTCTTTTTCGGGAATCTAACTTTTTAAGAGAATGTTTTTTTTATTGTTTTTTAATTGTATTAGTGGTGAATGAATTACCAATTTTACCCCTAGTGGGTCTACAGTGATGTGATGGTTTACTTTTTATAGGTTTAATGCAAGAAGATTAAATTGGTAATATTAGAAAAATGGTACATTGACTTTTCAAATGACACTTATTTTGGGACGGATAAAAATGGAAAGGTGGACACTTTTTTTGGGACGGAGGGAGTACAACTCTATTGGCCTTATTAATTGTTCAGATTCATGAGAGATAGAGAGAGAGAGAGAGAGAAATGTATATTCTGTATTTCATTCAGCCCTCTCAATGAGGCTTATATAAAGAACAAGGGTTATACACCCTAATTACACAATATTGCTTAATTACACAATAAGCCTAACTACTGTGGGTAATTACATAATGACCCAACATTATGGAAGATATAAACATTCTAACACTCCCCCTCAAGCTGGAGAATATATATCAAATAATCCCAGTTTGGAATAGATAGTCCTTAACCGGTTATGACCCAGTACTTTGGTAAACATATCAACTAGTTGATCTTCAGACTTCACAAATAGAGTAGAGATGCTCCCACTTAATAGTTTTTCCCGAACAAAGTGACAATCAACCTCAATATGTTTGGTCCTCTCATGAAACACAGGATTCCATGCAATGTGAACAGCTGTTTGGTTATCACAAAACAATGGAGTAGAAGCTTCAACTGTCAACCCAAGTCCTTTTAGAAAATGTTGTATCCATGTCAACTCACTAGTGGTATGGGCCATTGCCCTGTACTCAGCTTGAGTACTAAATCTAGCTACCACCGTTTGCTTTTTACTTTTCCACGTGACAAGATTTCCTCCTACAAATGTACAGTAGCCTATAGTAGATCTCCTATTTGAAGGAGAACCAGCCCAGTCAGCATCTGTAAAACCTTCCACCCTGAGATGACCATTTGATTTGTATAGTAACCCAAAACCTGGAGCTTGCTTGAGATATCGGATAATCCAAAGAACAGCAATCCAATGTGGCATTCTAGGAGCTCCCATGAACTAACTTACAACACTAACTGCATATGAAATATCAGGTCGAGTGATAGTGAGATAAATTAATTTCCCAACAAGGCGACGAAATTTGCCCGGGTTATTAAATAGATTACCCTCATCAGACACAAGTTTTGTATTTGAATCCATAGGAGCATCAAACGGACGACCACCTAACATACCCGTTTCTTCTAGCAAGTCCAACACATATTTTCGTTGAAATAAACTTATACCTTCCTTGGATCTAGCAACTTCAATACCCAAGAAGTACCTAAGTTTACCCAAGTCTTTAGTGTGGAATCGATTTTGCAGAAACAACTTCAACTTAGCAATGCCTGCAGAATCATCACCTATGACATACACCACAAGAAAAATGAAGCCAGCTTTAGTGCGCAGGTGAAATACCGAATGATCGATCTGGCATCTGTTAAGACCAAATTCTAATGCCGCCTTAGAGAATTTTCCAAACCAAGCCCATGGAGATTATTTCAATCCATACAAGGCCTTCTTAAGGCGACAAACAGTGTGACAATACTCCCCCTGAGCAACAAACCCAGGTGGTTGCTCCATATAAACTTCTTCAACCAGGTCACCATGTAAGAAGGCATTTTTGACATCCAATCGAAACAACGGCCAGTTAAAATTGGCAGTAAAGGAAATAAGAACCCGAATAGAAGAAATCTTAGCAATCGGGGAAAAAGTCTCATCATAATCAACACCATAAGTCTGACCCCTTTGCCACTAGACGAGCCTTCAACCGCTCAATAGACCCATCATGAAGGTATTTAAGTGTGTAGACCCACTTACAACCAACTGTTTTGGAGCCCGGAGGTAAGGGAACAAGATCCCATGTTCCATTACGGTGAAGGGCATCCATTTCATCCACCATGGCTTGTCGCCAACCCAAATCAGAGAGAGCATCCTGCAAAGTCCTGGGAACAAAAGTAGCAGATACGTTGGATAAAAAACAAGATAAAGAGGATGAAATATGACAGTAGGAGACAAAGTTAGAAATGGGATGTGCAGTAACACACGACCGAATACCTTTACGGAGAGCAATAGGCAAATCATCAGGTAAAAGCGTCGGATCCGAAGACTCTGAAGGAAATGGAGGGAGCGAAGTAAGCGGTCGAGGTCGTCGAGTATACACCTGCAATGGGACAGCAGAGCGAGGAGGTGTGGAAGCAGGAAACTGAGATGGAACTGTTGGCATAGGTGGCTCAGAAGTAATATCGAGAGGAGTAGTAGAATCAAAAAAATATGGGAGACTCAGAAAATGTTACATCAGCACTAGTGAAATAGCGTTGAAAATGAGAACTGTAACAACGATAGCCCTTCTGAGTGCGAGAATACCCAAGAAAAACACACTTAGTAGCACGAGGGTCGAGTTTATCAAGACCGAGTCCAAGGTTATGGACATAACACACATAGCCAAAGACTCGTGGAGTCAAATTAAACGATACGGAGTCGGGAAATAGAACAGAATGAGGAGATTTACCTTTTAACACTAATGAGGGCATCCGATTAATAAGATGACATGCCGTAAGAACGGCATCACTCCAAAATCGTTTAGGAACATGCATATGAAATAAAAGGGCACGACAGACTTCCAGAAGATGACAATTTTTACGTTCAGCTACTCCATTTTGTTGCGGAGTATCAGTACAAGAGGATTGATGAATGATGCCTTTAGCATGAAAATAAGTCTCAAATGGGTCCAAAAAATATTCTTTGGCATCGTCAGAACATAAAACTTTAATGGAACACCCAAATTGAGTTTTTATTTCTTTGCGAAATATTTCGAAAATAGAAAACAACTCAGAACGATTTTTCATTAAAAACAACCAAGTCATCCGAGAATGATCATCCACAAAGGTCACAAAATAACGAAATCCATTAATAGAAATATGTTTTATTGGTCTAGCAACACGATTATTAGCCCTTGGTTTGAAAAATACACGACAATACTTACTAAGCTGATATGTTTCACAAGACATGGACTCAACACGACTAAGACCGGGGACTTGACACTACAGAACTGATAGTAATGGGTGGCGGAGACGACAGTGCCACTGGAAAGAAGACAAAGATGATTGAAGAGCCGTGGGAGATGGTGCAAGATCGAAGTAATACAAGCCACCTACTTCATGCCCCGTACCAATCCTCTTTTTCGTCTTGAGATCCTGAAAAAGACAACATGTGGGATAAAATGTAACAGAACAGTGAAGAGATTTAGTAATTTTGCTGATGGACAACAAATTAAAAGGGAAATGAGGAACATATAACACAGAGGAAAGGGACATAGAAGAGGTAAGATGAATAGTTTCCAAACCCAAAACTTTAGTTAATGATCCATTAGCAAGAGTAACACTTTGAGAAGAAGGAACAGACTGAAAATCAGATAAGGGATGAGAACTACCAGTCATGTGATCGGATGCGCCAGAGTCAAGAATCCAGGGATTCTGACTAGAGGACAAAAGACATGCAGGGGCACCACCTGATTGGGCCAAGGACCCCATGGAAGATGAGGTGGAATGCCGTTATTGAGACAGAAACTGAGCATACTCATCGCGGGGAATCGTGACCATAGCATTCTCAACAGCCACATGTGGAGCAGTGGGTGTGGCAGAGAGAGAAGAATCCCCATCATTAGAAGTCACTTGATGTGCATAGGAAGAAGGTGGTGGTTTCCCATGAAGATTCCAACAGTAATTGACAGTGTGATTAGTAAGACCGCAGTGAGTGCAAAGTTTTGAGTCTCGGCCTCTGCCTTGACCACGGCCACGAGTAAAATGACCACCACCACCACGAGAAGACTGAAAGCCACCCTGGTTCACAACTAAGGCAGAACGTTCACTGCTAGGAGGAGCAGTGACACCACTGGAAGCCCCTCTTGAAGCGCCACTAGATAAAGTGGCACGCTGGAGTCTAGATAACATATCAGGTAAAGAGGGAAGTGCAAGGCTCCCCAAAATCTGTGCACGAACAGGTTCATACTCTTGTGACAATCCTGTGAGAACTCGAACAACATTAAAATCCTCACGTTGCTACTGCATGCTTTTCACATCAAAGGTGATGGGTTGATACATATTCATTTCTTCACAAAGTCCCATTGCCCGTGAGAGGTATTCTTCTAAACTGTGAGTCCTTTGCTGGAGGTCAAAAAATTGTCTACACACCTCATAAATTCTGGTTATATTACCAGCACCGGAATATAACTGTTGGAGTCGGGTCCATATCTCCTTGGCAGTGTCCAGATATAACAAGTTGGAACTAATATGAGGTTCAATACAATTCAGCATTAAGGAGATGATCTGAGCATCCCTTTGTTCCCATGAACTGAAATCAGCATCACTGCTTTTGGGTTTATGCTTAACCAAATGAGCACCAAAGCCTTTGGCTTTCAGGAAAATGGCCACTGACTTGGCCCATAAAATGTAATTTTTGCCATTAAGCTTGACTGAAGTCATGGGAGGATTAAAGGAGCTAGAAGATAACAGGTCTGAACTGGAAGCCATGGAGAAGGTAAAAAAAAAACTGACGAACCTGGGGAAAAAAAAAAATGCAGAATCGGCAACCGGGTCGGATCTAGGCAATCAGGTCGGATCTGGGCACCCTAGTTGGATCAAAACCAGGTCTCTGCTATCTCGACTTTAGTAAACCAAGGTTGGAATAGCATAGCCGCGTAGCCAAACAAGGCTGTTCTTCTTCACAACCACCAACAGACTCCGGCAAGCACACAATGGCGACACCACACCGAATCAAAACCTTCGCAACTTCCGACCAAGAAAAAGGACGAATCGATGAAGCCTCACCTCTGCAAACAACGACGGTGGATGTCGGCGAGCTTGCTAACGATCAACGCGGCAACAACACAAGCGGCCAAGGGGCTTCAGATCTGACGGCGACGAAAGAGGCTGCAGATCTGACAACGACGATGACTACGGGCTTCAAATCTGACGGCGACGAAGGACGATGACGACTACGAGTGATGTTCTCAACCTACCAGCGACGGCAAAGACACCAACAACACACTCGCGATTCCAATCGCGAGTCCAATCTCATACAAGGGCAACACACTTGTCGTTTCCCACACCCATGAATCTATAGTGCTCTGATACCATGTTCAGATTCATGAAAGATAGAGAGAGAAATGTATATTCTGTATTTCATTCAGCCCTTTCAATGAGGCTTATATAAAGAACAGGGGTTATACACCCTAATTACACAATATTGCTTAATTACACAATAAGCCTAACTACTATGGGTAATTACATAATGACCCAACATTATGGAGGATATAAACATACTAACATTAATGAAATTATGTGAGTTGGGCCAAAGTTATACTTTTATAGGCTAAACCTTTTAAATGTAAAGTAGTAATATATAGGCTAAACTTTTAAAATATAGAACGATAATACGAATAGGCCAGTTAACGAGCTTGTTCACGAGCCTAACGAGCCGAGCTCAATGTTGCTCAAGCTCGGCTCGTTTACTAAACGAGCTTGAAAATCGAGCTTGAGCTCAAGCTCAGCTCGTTTACTAAACGAATGAGCCCGAGCTGTTCATGAACAACCCGGTTCATTAACAGCCCTACGCGGGATAGGTTAGGGGCATTTATGAAAGTCTTTGGGCACTTAGATGAAAGTACCTACAAGGTGCGATTAGAGGAAAGCTTTGGGTTAAGTTTGCAATTAAGGAAAGTTCATGACTATTTAAAGGAAAGGATAAGGGAGGAAAGCCACTCATTGTGTCTTCTCTTTCTCTCTCTATATTCACCCACATCTACACCCACATAGAGCTCCAACTTCTCTCTAGATTTGGAGGGTATAGGAGTTGAATTTTGGAGAAGCCCAAGAAGGAAGAAGTGATCTCCTCTCTCTCCTTTACATTTTTACCCGTTAGAATTTTTTATTTGGAGCATTTGGGGGTTTGGGTGATATTGGGCTTGGATTTTGAGGAAACCATAGAAGAGAAGTTTGATCCACTCATCTTCCTCTACGTTTCTACCAGTTCGGAATTGCGGTGTGGAGCGTTTTTGGTGGAACAACTAGGGTTTTGTTTATTTGAGGTAGGGGTGTTTGAATTCATTTGACGCATAGTTCTTGAGCCATGTAAATGAGTAGTATTTGATGCCTTCGCATGCTTAGGAAGTGTTAGAGATGAATATTCATGTCATGTATATGTGGTTATTGAAATGAGAAGATTTCTTACATGTACTTGGTATATTTTGTGATGCTAAGTGTGTAGGATTATGTTAAACAGGCTTAGTGTCGACTTGGTTAGTGTAGAGTATCATGATATATGCATATTGATGATATAAATATCATGTGATCACCATATGTTTGATAAAATGCTCAAATGAGGAATTTGTTTTAGAAATGGAATTTTGATGATATTGATATGGAAATCGACATGCATCGGATATATTACATGTTGTAGTATGGTAATTGTGCGTGTTGTGAATGTTGAACCCATTGCTTGTGAATGCATAGAGTTGGGAACGGGATATTGATTTTCGGATTGAAAGTCCCAAAAACTTGGCCAAGCGAGTGTCGTTACCGTCGGGCTAGTAGCCTATAAAGCAAGGGCAGGGGTGTGGGGCTACGGCACGTACTCGGGTGTGTGCATACAATCAATCTGGCTTGTTATGATTTGGAATGTGATTCCTTGATGCGTGAGTTATGGAGTTTAGGTGAAATTGCAACTTGGGTTGGATAAGCTAATTACCATATCATCTACTGGCCAGTTTGCTCACCCCATCATTTTTCAGGCAAGGAGCATGATACGGGCAATGCTTAGACACGCCATGGATTTGGAACATGGTTTGGACATTTTTGCTTCTCTTGTTGTAATTGGATACTTTATCTTTAATCTATTATTGGATACACGCCATGGATTCCTTGATACATGGTGTAAGAACATTGTTGGTGTTCCTTGGACTATAGTATGTTAGTTGGGGTGTTCTTGTATGATTTCCACCCCTATGGCCCATTCATGTTTAAGCTTGTAAAATTTATGTTGCATTTCATGTATAATTGATTCATGATGTTACGATTATATTAACATGAACTTGATGTAATTGTTATCATGCATGTTTTATCATGTTTTGTACGAGTCTTAGGGTGTACGAGACTTGGGAGATGATATATTGAGGTTGTGGGGTTGAATTACAGGTGTGTCGGACTGATTTAGGAACTGCGGGAGAGGGCTAGTTGACAGTGTCTTGGGGGACACAGTTGACTGTACTTTTTTTTTGAGACTTAATTGAGGGACAGTCAATTGTACATTTTTTTGTGACTTTCCAGTAGCACGGCTACTGAAAATTGTCGACTGTCCTACTACACAGGCAGTTTTTATTTGTTTATTTTTTATTTTTTATTTTTTTTTTCTTGCTTTCTCTGTTCTAGTTTCTTTTGCTTGGACCTAGGGCATTGGGTCTTTTCTAACGGGGTATGAATCAATGTTTAGAGGGTGTTGGTGATTATTTTATGATTGATTTGTCAATCCATCATTCGTAAACCGGGTCTTTGGGATTCTGGGCGCGACAGTGGAGTCTCAGAGTATGGGTTTATGTCACCCCCGGTTTAGGGGAATGATACCATCAGGACCCATGAGGCATATTTCAATCAATGTTGCAAGGGATGGAAGATGGTAAGAAAAAACCGTGTAAGTAGATTCTAAGCATCAATGTCTCAGTTTAATATTTAAATGTGGTAAGATTTATGCTTAATATTAAAGACTTCAGAAGCCTGTAATTTTGCCAATTTGATATAGTTGCATTACATATTGTCAAGTCTTATCAATATTATCTATAACATATTGTTATAAGAGGTAAATATTTTGATAAACTATACCAATACCTAAAGATTATCATGAAGAGATTGAGGGATTTTGAATCAAGATCATTAAATTGCTATCACAAAAAGGTTATCTTTTTAGTAATGCTTCTGAAGATGAATTTGAGATGGAACACACCTCACGTTCTCATGAAATGTGAATAGATCGCGTAGATCTTCTGTTGAAAGAAGGTTCCCCTGCAATTATAACTCACAATTTATATATTTTAGAGCATTGACATAAACATAGTAAAAAGAAAGCAGCAGAACAAGTACATGGGTGTTGAAGCCATCTGTTTTCTCCTGCTGAATAACTTTCTGAAGCCCTTCTTTTGACATCTGACGCTGGTATACCTGCATAAAATTATACTGGTTCATGAAACTGACTCCAAGACAAATCAGTCGTTCACCGCTCAGACTGCCATAAAAGATGCAAACAGAAGAGGAAAGGATCTGATAACACTGAAAAAATAGTGCTAAATCAAAACCTTTTCTTCAATGGTTCCAGTACTCAAGAACCTATATATGTATACTCTCTTTTTCTGTCCATCCCTCCAGATCCTTGCAGCAGCCTACTTACATGTTAAAAAAGAACATGGGAGAAAAATTAGATCAGTTATGTTGCAATAAAATAAGAGGCCTTTTCTTCACTCACGGTAGAGTGCTGCATGAATGGTGAAGAAATTACCTGTTTGTCATTTGCAGGATTCCAATCAGGATCAAACAAGATTAGTCTATTTCCACCTATTAAATTGAGGCCACAACCACCAGCCTTGCTGCTCAAGAGAAAGACAAACTCATCCTGCCAGAGGTAGATTTCACTTGTTTTATCAATAGCTGAGCCCATATGTTATAAATCATAAATTGCAAAGAGGATTTACCTACCTTTGATGGATCATTAAAACGGTTGACCAACTTTTGTCTTTTACTGATTGATGTAGTTCCATCAAGCCTTAAGAATGGATATCTTCTCTCACGACACAATTGAGCAAAAAGATCCAGTGTCTGATGAATCGCAATTAATATCATTAACAACTCAAATTAACTAGTTGTTTCTCCAGTTGGATAAAGTACACTTAGCTCAAAATAAATTAATTATAACCATCACAACTTGACCATTATAAAAGGACAATAACAAAAAGAAAAAGATGATTTGGGGCGATTTTAGGGTTTGCTTTTTGAGTTAGGGTTTGCTGTCTGGGGGAGGTGATCCTATTATGGAAGAGGGTCAGACCTCCTCCCACGAGATACTGGGAGAGCTACCACACTGGCAGGCTACGAGTGTCATGATCCCGATCCTCTGGGGAAGGTGAAGATGAGTGCTATATGTAGGTTCAACACCCTTCTATGACACAACGTATTTTAAAGCCGTGATGGCTGTGAACCCATCAGAACTCTGCAATTAAGCGCGCTTATGTTGAAATAGTACCAGGATGGGTGACCTCCTGGGAAGTCTGATCTAGGGGAGCCAAAAGCAGACAATATTGTGTCGGGTAGGATGAGGACTATTATAATTGGTATCAGAGCCGAAACCCAGCCAGAAGAGTGGCCAATGAGGACGTCGGGCCCTGCCGAGGGGGGGTGATTGTGACGACCTCTGTGGCGGGTGAGAGACACTGGGCGAGCTACCACACTGGCAAGCTACAGGTGTCATGATCCCACATCGCCTGGGGAAGGTGAAGGTGAAGTGCTATACATAGGTTCAACACCCTTCTACTCTTCTATGACACAACGCGTTTTAAAATCGTGATGTGCTTATGCTGGAGTAATACTAGGATGAGTGAACTCCTGGGAAGTCTGATCCGGAGAAGCCAAAAATGGACAATATTGTGTCGGGTAGAGTGAGGGTTGTTACAGTTGTGCCCACACGATTGAAGGTAAGCCAATTATTGTTAAGAAGTGGTTTAAGAATGTTCATCTTAAGCATGATGTGCTAGGGTCCGTCCCTATTTGGAAGAAGATTTATGGGCTCTTGATTCATTGTTGCAAGAAATTTGTTATCTCTAAAGATTTGTTACAAGTTCTCTAAGCCTCTGATTCTCGATGAATCTATGTCTCAGGACTGGGGTCAATTTGTTAGAGTTATGGTTGAAGTTGATGTCCATAAACAGCTGCCAGACTCAGTTCTTGTGAATATTCATTGGAAAGATTGTTTCCTTCAATTAGAGTATGATTGAAAGCCAACAATGTTGTTTGCAATGGGTATTGATCATGTCATGGCGAATTGCCCTTGGAAGGTTATAGAGAAATCAAAGCCGAAGAATGTTGGACAATGGGTTATCAAGAAGAAGGGTAAGATGGTTTCTGTAGAAGATGAAGTTTTACAAAGGGAAAGTGATACTCAGATTGTTATGCCTCCCAGAGAAGGGCCGAGTATGGAGACATCCAACACTTTTGAGGCTTCAAATGACAATGATGGGTTGGAGTATCCTCGGGTTGTGCCTGTGATGGAGCTAATCAAGCCGAGTGAGACTGCTACAATTTATGAAGTGGGTAGACAGCCGTATGAGGATGTTCATGAGCAGTTTTCAGATAAGATTTTGAAGACTGAGAAGTTGACCCAGAATGATGGTATGCTGAATCAACAAATTAATACTACAAATGTTGGTAGGAGATGTCCTTTGCAAGCTGAATCTCGACCAGTAATTGTGAAAGAAGTTTCTAATACAATCCATGGGCATAAGGTCAAATCTGGATTGCAATTGCGTTGGAGTAAGACTGCAGAGTCTAAATCTAATTCTGGGTTGCAATCAAGTGGAGGCAAGGTAGTAAGAGTGATTCCTGCTCCTTCAAAAGGAAGAGGTAAAAATGGCCAAAAACAGAGTAATGTGGCCACAGATAGAATACCTAGGAGTAAGGGTGGGGTTGTTGACCTCAAAGCATCTCTCTCATGATTGGAGCCTGGAATGTTAGGGGCCTTAATAGGTCCAGAATGAAGGAGGTAAAGGGATCGATAACTCAATCCTCCTTGCAGTTTGTTTTTCTTTTAGAAACTAGAGTAGTACATAATAATTTTGATAGAATCTCCAATAAAATTAGGTCTAATTGGACCTGGATTCAGAATTTTTCTTCTCATTCAAATGGTAGGATTTGGTGTGGGTGGAATGGTGAGCTTTTTTCGGTGTCTGCCATCCATTGTGCGCGCAGTCTCTATTGTTGAAGGTAACTCACATTGCCACTAATAGTACTGTGTTTTTTACCCATGTTTATGCCTCTAATACTGAGAGAAAGAAAACAATTATGGCAAATTTGAGATTCCATGCTTCTTTGGCAGATGGGCCATGTTTAGTTATGGGAGATTGGAATAATTGTTAAGTTCAATTCTGAAATATTGGGTGGCAGGCGGATCCGTCAGATGCTGTTGGGTGAATTTAATGATTTATGGATGCTGGACTAACAGATCTTCATACTAATGCAAATCCAACTTGGAGTAACAGAGGATAATTTATGGCAGGTTGGATAGGGCTATGGTCAATGCTATTTGGTTGCATACATTTGTTGGTGCTATACCATCTCTGCAAAATGCTGATCTTTCAGATCATGGTGCTGTGGTTGTGAATATTTTTCAAAATGTTGCAGCTGGCCCCAAACCTTTTCTTATGCTGAAGGTATGGTGTTTTCAAGATGGGATTGAGGATGTGTGGCTGGTGCATGGGGTATGTATGATACGGGGAGGCAATCCTATACAATCTCTGCAGCATCAGAAGTTGAAGAAAGTCGAAGACGTTAGAGTGGAACACAAAAAAGGTTTGGTAATGTGTACCCAGCAGTTAAAACTGCCAGAGAGGAATCGAACCATGGTCAAGATCAACTACAGCGTAATCCAGTTAATGCAGAGGTTGAGTCAGAGAATATGCAGACAGCAACTCGAATTGGCCTTATCTAATGAGGAACTCTTGGTGGCTCAGAAAAACAGGGTGCACTGGTTGAAAGATTTTGACAAGTGTACTTCTTTCTTCTATAATAAAATTGCTCAACATAGGAATCATAATATTATTGCGTCTATTCAGAATGAGAATGGAGTGGTGACATTTTGACAAGTGTACTTCTTTCTTCTATAATAAAATTACTCAACATAGGAATCATAATATTATTACGTCTATTCAAATGAGAATGGAGTTGTGACATTTGACAAGTGTACTTCTTTCTTCTATAATAAAATTGCTCAACCTAGGAATCATGATATTATTACGTCTATTTGAATGAGAATGGAGTGGTGACATCAATCTGCCATTAAAGTCTGGATTGTTGCAGCTCATAATGATCAACTTGTTCCTGAGTTAAAGCCTCTCAAAAGATCTTTGTCTGAGGACCAAGCTAGCATGCTTGAAGCTCCCATATCTGATGATGATATCAAGAAAGTGGTTATGGATTTTCACCCTGATAAAACACCTGGTCCAGATGGTTTCTCACCTAGGTTTTATCAAAGGTGATAGACTATTATTGGTAAGGATGTGTGTGATGCTGTTAAATATTTCTTTGCTCGTCCTAGGCTCTCAAAGGGTGTTAATTCTTCTTTTATTACTCTGATTCCTAAAAGGGAAAAGGCTATTAGCATTTCAGTTTTAGGCCTATCTTCTCACTATGTAACACAACTTACAAAATTATTATCAACACTATAGTTCTTCCTAGTTTGGTTGGTTTGGAAAATCAGCATTTATTAAGGGTAGAGGATGCATGACAACATCTTGATGGCTCATGAGTTGTTGAGAGGGTTCAATGGGGCTGCTAATCCTGTTTTTACAATTAAAATTGATTTAAATAAAGCCTATGATACTGTGTCATGGAGATTCACGTTAACTTTGTTGCAGAAGATTGGTTTTGGCCAGAGTTAGATTAATTGGAAAAAGGAGTGTCTTACTACCTCTTAGTTCACTGTATTGGTCAATGGTTCTTCAGAAGGCTTCGTTCAACCAGGTAGAGGCCTTAGACAAGGCTGCCCACTCTCTCCAATGTTATTAACTCTTGTTGCTGAATATCTTTCTTCTTTGGTGCAAATTGAGGTCAATTCTGAAATTTATCTCTTATTAAGTCTGCTAGAAAGATCAACTCTTCTCTCTGTCACCTTTTATATGTTGATGACCTCTTGTTTGTGGCTAACGCTGATAGTAGTTCAACTGTGACTATTCAAAGGGTGTTGAATGATTTTGCTGCTGTCTCTGGACTTCAAGATAATCCTCACAAATCTACAATCTTTTTCTCTAAGTCAGTGAGGAGGAAACAGTTTCTCAACAGAATTCTGCAATTTAAAGAGGGAAAGTTTCCTATCAAGTATTTGGGGGGTTTCCATGAGCATGTATGATTTGTCCATGGCCTCTTGCTCAGATCTTCTTCATAGATTTAACCATAGATTGTCTAATTGGTCAAATATGAAACTGTCCTTAGCTGGGAGAACAGAATTGGTCAGAACATGCATCTATCCTATCATTCTGTATTGGTGTTCAGTTTTTAAAATTCCTGCTGCTGTTTCTAATGTCATCCAGGTAAAAATTAAGAAGTTTCTAAGGGAAGCACAGACAAGGTTTCTAGGATGCATTACCTGAAATGGGGTCTCTAATTGCAAGACCTAAGATTGAAGGAGGGCTTGGACTCAGAGTTCTTGATGATATACAATCTGGAAGGAAAGAAAGAAACTCCAGGTTGACGTTGCTCCATTGATGTTGCTAGATCAGTTGCTTTTGAGGTTATGGATGTGGCTGCCATTTATTCCTTTAATGAACTTGTAATGGAAGCGGTCGTTCTCAATTCTTTGGATGCACAGTTCCAGTGAAGGTATGCCCTCACTTTTTTTTGTGTACTGAATGCTTATCCTTTTGAAATGAAATCATTTCATTCATGAAAAATATATATATATATAACCAGACAAGCTTGCATGGAAGTTGTTAGACAGCCCCCTTAGACTTGTTATTAGCCTGTATATTTGCATATGTTCTGTTATATATGTTTAGACTTAATTATAGGCTATGTTAGACAGCTCCCTTAGATTTAGGCTTGGCATTAGCTTGTATATTTGCATATCTTTTGTTTCATGTGTTTAGGCTCAATTATAGGCTTATAACTTACATTTAGCCTTAGATTTGGGCTTGCCTTTCATGTAACACACATATAAATACCCCTATTGGGATGAATACAATTGAGTTGAATTTTCCCAATTCTTTTAACTTCCACATGGTATCAGAGCGTCCTACGACCTTATAGTCTCTTCCGCTTCCTCTTCTTCTTTGAATTGCTAAAAACGTCTTTTCTCGGGAAACAGGCACTTGCAGAATTTTTTCAAGTTTTTTGCGCCAAAAATAAATAAAGAACAGAAACTTATGTAATAGGATCTATGTACCAGTATATATCTGGTCGGAGACTTGTGATATCTGTTACGCATAAACTTAGTGAGCTTGAGTGAGACTTTGAAGATGTGATTAAAAGTTGTTCTTCTTCAATTATTGAAACTCTAGAAGAATTACTAATGGTAAAGATTCCATAACATCTTCACATTTTCAATAAGTAAATGTACATTTTCTCAAAGAAACAAGAGGTGGTTCGCTTGACTAACTGAAGTGTCTACTGTCAGTGTAAGAATGGGAATCATAGGATTACGATTGGATACAGCTTAAGGATTTAGTGAAATTGCAAATGACAGCATTTGGAAACAAAAAGAAGTTCTATTAGTCAAAAGCTAAAACAGTAAACAATCAGATGGTCTCAAGGTGTTATTGGCAATGATGTTTGTACTTGACTACTTGTTTCTTTGAAAAGTGCACCCTTTAGCTTTGTACTAGGTCCCCCTTTTTTTTCCAGTTGAGTGTTTTCCACTTGAAATTGATATGTCTATTACTTGCTTTTGAGTGGTTAATTATCATATGCTTGATTGTTTAATTGATTACACTTTCAAGTTAAAAAAGAATAATGTTTAATTAGTCACAGTCAAAGGAAGAGTTCTATTCACCCCCTCTAATTCTGGAATCACATCTGTTAATCTACCAGACTTTCTGTTTCAACTCATAGTAGTTATTAGCTTGGCCAACAAATACATATTTTTTAACAGAGGCCAAAGGAAGTATCCTAAACTGCCATAACAACAGTGAGATTGAAAATCAAGATAAAGGAAAAAAAGGAAAAAAAAAAAACCTTCAATAATTAAAGTAACTTAATAGAATTCATATAGATGCAATATAGACTATATTTCATCACTTTATATAAACATTTGTTGTGGAAAAAAAAATAACCTACTATTCACATGCTTATTCAAGTTTGTGAATGAAAGAAAATATCCAGATGACACAATCCAGAATTGGATACTGCAATACCAGTATGCAGAGTATTCTACTAATGGCATGAAGGTACAGTCTTGCTTGAAGGCACAAGCAATAGCCTCATGAACCCTACAGCTTATCATTAAAAAAGCATATAGAAACAACGAATAAAATAAATAAAATTCATATGTCAGATTGCCAGCTCTTCAGTTAGCTAGAATTAAAATATAGAACTACCTGTGTGTAGTTCGAAACAAGGACAATTCGGTCATCTGTTCTTTGACGTAGCTGGGCCAGTAACTGAGCTAAGACATGCATTTTCCCAGATAGTTCAACCCAAACGCCATTACCACCAGTCCATGTTCCAGATCTGAAAAATAACAGAAAAAAATCCATGACTTGAAAATATATTATAGAATAAATTTATATCGACAGTGTAATCAGAAATAGCTTACCTTCCAGAGAACATCTCCGAAGGGAAAAAACGCAAACAGTCCTCAAAACCTGATGTTCCAGGACTCCCACTTCTTATCGTATCAAATATAAGCTTCAAAATATACATATATCATTATATTATATATATATATATTGCATGAAAAAACAGTGATTATGAAACTTGTACATAAGATGAACATAAGAAGGACTGAGAGTGAAAGGTAACACACAATTAAATAGAGCAAGTCTAGCCTAAGGACAAATAACAAACTAATAAATTCTCAGATGGATTATTATCTTTCAAAAAGAAATAAAATAGCTTTGATAAATCAAAATAAGCCTCAAAAAATCAACTACAACTTTCTAAATTTAAGAGAACACTAATAAAATAGCTTTGATAAATCACCATAAGCCTCAAAAAGTGGACTACAACTTTCTCAATTTAAGAGAACATTCTATCTTTTGAACAACTACAAGTGCATAACATGACCTAACATTGATTTGGTGAAAGAATATAGACATCAAAAGATTAACTTCTAACTTCTTTACTTTGCTTGACGACTATGCTACATAGACTCTTCAAAAGTAGTGAAGTACCCGTGTTGGACACATATTGCTCGGACATGGGTATGGGATATGTGTCCGGCATTTTTGAGTAGACATGTACACTCCAAAATATAGCAGATGAATGAAAATAATACACTCCAAATAGCATTTTGGATGAAATGCACCATTGGAGCAGAATTGTTAAAATATAGCCTTTTGACACTGTACCATTCATGTTCTAAATAAATTAGGGTTTTTTATTTACATGTTTTTATCTTTAAAATCCTTATAATATGCATAAAAGTGTTTAAAATTCTACTAATCAGGACAGGGCAGCTTCGATCAATTGATGGATCAACCAAAGGCTTCTTAACAAGTTTACATCGATCGAATCATTCCTGATTGAGCGGAATCTGCAAGACTCAGTTTCTAAATAAGTTTTAAACACTTTTAACCATAATCCTTTTGTGCTTCCATTCTATATATAAAAAAACCAATGGTTTCAGAAAAACCTATGATTTTGGAAGACAACCAAAGCAAGTATATACATTTATACTGAGTGCATTCCAGCAATCTAATTCCAAGACTTTGTTTCTTCTCCATTCATCATTCATACATTAGATGATGAGTGAATTAAGACTGTTGATCATCATATATTCAATGACTACACGGATAATTCAACACCAAGAGCATATACACGTCTACATGAAGAACAAACATCACTAGTCACGGAAATCATTGTGCTACTAGAAGTAAAACACGTGATGAGCGGATTTGTTTATTGCAGAGATTGATTGGATCATCTTCACATGAAAAACGGATTTGTTAACTGAAAGCAGCAAAGAACGACTGGATCATTTTGTAACTGGGGGTTCTTGGGTTAGAGTTTTGTTAATTTAGTTTGCTACATTTCTCATACTTAAAAAGATGGTAACCATAGCTAAACAGAAGGCAATAAATAACATGTATGAAAAATTAGGAACAAAAGAGAGTAAAGTAGCTGTTTACAGAACGACAAAGAATAGAGAGGTTGACAAGAGACATGGATCAAGTTAGGTGTATTAAAGATATAGGTCAAACAATATTAGTTAAAGACAAATATATATTAGAGAAAGATGGAAGAACTACTTTCAACAATTACTAAATGAGGAAATACTGGAGAAGAATTCGTAAGTAACGAACCGTACGTAGGATTGGTAAATGAAATTCATAATAAGGAAGTAGAGGACACACTTAAAAAATTGGGTAAAAATAAGGTCGCTGGACAGGATAACATACCTATAGAAGCTTGGAAAATTTTAGGAAAGATAGGCATTGAATGGCTAATAAAGTTGTTTAACAAAATTGTAAGAGAAGAAAGCACGCCAAGTAAGTGGCGGAAAGTACAATAGTGTCAATTTATAAAAATAAAGGGGATATACAAAATTGTGGAAATTATAGAGAAAAAAAATTAATGAGTCACACAATGAAATTGTGGGAAAGAATAATAGGGCAAAGATTAAAGGGAGAAACATTTATATCGGATAACCCATTTGGATTTATGCCAGGTAGATCCACAATGGAATCCCTATGCTTAATAAGACAACTTATAGGAGTATATAGGAGTAAACAAAAAGATTTACTTATGGTTTTCCTAGATCTAGAGAAGGCACATGATAGAGTGCCAAGGGACATAATAAGGTGGGCTCTATAAAGAAAACAAGTACCTATAAAAATTATAAATCTTATTCAGGGGGTATCGTGAGACATTGACTAGAGTGAACACTACATGCAGGGAAACTAGTGACTTCCATATAAAGGTGGGACTACACCAGAGATCGATGTTAAGTCCTTACCTATTTGCGATAATATTAGACAAAACAATGAAAGATATTCAAGATGAACATCCCATGGTGCATGTTATTTGCAGACGACATGTATTAGTAGATGCCTCTAAGGAAGCCTTAGCAACAAAATTAGAAGTTTGGAGAAAGGGATTAGAATCAAGGGGCCTGAGAGTTAATTGGACTAAAACGGAATATGACATGTAAATTTGATAAAGTAGAAATGACAATAGAGTTACTTAAAAGAACTCTTTTCTGTTACCAAGGATCTAGACTACAAAAGGAAGGGGAGATAGATGGTGATGGAGTAAGTAGGATTAGAGCCGGGTGGACAAAATGGATGCAAGTTAGTTGTATCCTTTGTGACAAATGAATACTGAATAAATTAAAAATACATATATATATCTACATTCTATAGAAAGGTTATTAGGCCGGCAATATTGAATGGAGCAGAGTGTTAGGCGTTGAAAAAGGCACAAATACAATGCATTCATGTAGCTAAAATGAGGATGCTACGTTAGATGAATGGAATCACTAGTAGAGATAAAATAAATAATGAACATGTTACGTGAACATTAGGTATAGCGCCTATTGCCTATAAATGATAATATTAGGGCAACTAGACTTAGGTAGTACGGTCATATTCAACGTGTGGTATTAAAAGAGGAAGAGTTGTTTGTTTAGAAGGTAAGCTACAAAGATGCCGACCAAAACTTACGTGGGATGAAGTTGTTAAAAACAACTTACAAAAACTTAAATTTTAGAGATAATATGGTGTATAATAGGAAACAATGGAAAAAGGGAATTCATTTGTCTTACCCCATCTATATGGAATAGACTAGGATGATGACGATGACATTTTCTCATAGTGGATTTGATCAGCCTGAACTGAGCCCTCGTGGTTTTTTCCCAATGGAGTTTAATCATTTGTTCATGTGTGAATGATTTACTTTACGTACTTGCTTCATAGGATTATGAATAATTTTTTCATATAAGTTCAAATCACAGTTAATAGTAATTCTTTTTTCACTAAATTACAGTTAATAGTTGTTTATTTTTAGTTTCTGTTAAAGTCCGTCAATTGTTAAGCAAGAACTCTTCACCCTCCCTCTAGGTTTAGATCAGGCCTCTCAGAGCCTAGGATTATTGTCCTACAATTACTCACAAACCAATAATTTTGCACTATAGAACCATAACCAGTAACTTTCAATCCTCACTATCGGTACATAATGTAAATTAGGCAAAAAAGGAAAAGAACTTTACAAATATTATCCTCCAGTGATATTAAACCTTAGGATGGTTGCACAGCTTCTTGAGAACAGTAATGTATGCCAAGATTTTTGATTGCTTCGCTTCTTCAGTAATTGCTCTTTTAACCTGTATTTTAGGACAACCAAATAAAGGAAGTAGCTAATTAACCATTCCCAGTGCCAATATCCATTAATTTTTGCACATTTTGAAGAAATAATGAGATTTTACATTTTTTGACTGTACAAAGTGGTTATATAGTTCTGACTGGAGAGGAGTTAACTTGCAGCAAACAACCTCAATTATCTGCAAAGGCAATTGTGATTCAGGTAAATTTCAGTAACTTAGAAACTCTTAATAATGAGAGAATCAGTACAAAAAAGACAAAATTTAATGCTGAAAAATAAAATGGACTGTACTGAACTATTATATTTTAAATTGATTCAGCAATCAGCATAAAAATCAGGCCTGCCTGATTGAACCTCCATTATAATTGACCATAATTCAAATACAACCAGACATGAATAAAGTGGAAAAATACGAGTAACGTAACTACATTTTTGATGGCCACAAAAATTTGTCAGATCAAGCTAACCAGAAATTTGCAGTACAAAATAAATATGGCCCTTAACCAAGTTAGTAGCAGTTTTATCCACTCTCACTTTCCCAAAGAATGCAATGAACTAATCTTCTAGCTTCCAGCCATACATATTCATGTAGAATAGATTGGATGACTAAGAAATGTCAGTTTGCTGCAGTTCACATATTAGACCCTCATTTTTTGGATTCAGCAAAAGATACGACTTGATTTATAATCTTAGTTAGATGCCTTGATTAAATAAATTAAGCAAGGATTGTTCAATCAGTATTTTTTATCTGTGTAGACATGGAAAACAGGGGAAAATGTCCTGGATCTACTCAGATAAGATCAGAAGAAGAAACTCACTAGCTTATCAATTTTTTTAAAAAAATATTGCTCACTCATTAAAATGGTGGACATGCTCTACAATAACTCAAGCCAGATAACCAAGACAACTTAGTTCCTAACATGTTTCTGAGAAGTGACCCAGGACAAATTTACTAGCTGGTCCTGGCTCAAAAATAATTTGATAGTCATGCTACAAAATGTCTGTCCTGTGGTGCATGTAATTCATAGGAGAACTAAAATTTAAAACAGATAACCAGTCTGAACTTTAAAGACCGAAGAAGAAAACTATAAAAAGGTAGAAGGACAGGGACGAGAAGCTTCAAGAATAACAAATCTTCTAGTTTGAGTATTATATGGCTGATGAAATGTACAGTTCAAGTGTCTTATATAATTTACACAATTATGACAAAAGAAAAGAACTTTAAAGTTTTTTCTTTTTACCAGACAAAATGCCTTGTGGCTACAGTCCTACACTATAGAGGTAGCATCTCATCACTAAGCAACAATAAAAAATAAAAATAAAAAAATTAACATATTTGTTTCATAAAACTATTTGAAAAGCACTCCTGTGTAGTCTTTCCAAGGACGATGAGAGCATTACCACCTGAGAAAATGATTTCCCTGAAAAAACTGTCATATGCCATTTGTAATTTTCTGATACAATAATTTATGGAAAAAAAAAACTGATACAATAAACCATGGGTAAAGGGATAAAGCATGAACACGGATTAATATATTTTGCAATGTATTATGCAAGATTTAACAAATAAAAAAGGCACACAGATAAAGACAAGAGCCATACCTTTGGTGGTAAGTGATTCGATAACAACACATTGGTCCTTCTCAATATGAACTGAAATAAATATATGAATTAACTGTTTAAAAATTAAAGGCAATTCCTACTTGGTAGTCTCTAACTAAGGACCCCAGCAGTTTGAAAAATAAAATTTTTGAGGGGAAACAAATAATATTTCTATGACTTGCATAAGACACCGATATTGATTTTTGAAGCACAAACTGGTAACAGTAGCCTCTAGATTTTGCTCATCTCAAGAAGAAAAGTTTACCTGATTTACTTTTGCACTTAATTCCGCAGAGCGCTCAACACTAAGCTTCTTCTCTTCTTGAGTGGCAGACGGTTCTCTACCACAAATGATTGGAGTCTTCATTAACCATTCAAAATAAGAATGAATTTCACGTTAAGAAGTAGAAAGACAAGGAAGGAAATAATATATCAGTTGCAAACAAAATATACAACTTAACTTGAAACAGTTAAAAGAAAAATAAATTCCAGCATGAACCGCAAGGGGTTGGCTCAAGTGGGTAAGTCACTTGGCTCCGGTGCCTCATGAAGCATCAGGTCTAAGGTTCAACTCCTCTAGGGTGCAAACAATTCCTTGGAGGGAGGGGTTTGTGAGTATCAACTAGGAAAAAATAATAATAAATTCCAGCATGGCAATGAATACTTTGTATACTTGATTAATTGATCATTGAATAATGCAGATATCATTAAAAATTGATCCCTACTTATCAAAAATTTGTAGGTAAGTAGTCAATGCCCTTGCTAGCACATTAATCAAATACTTGACTCAACCAAGCTTCCTTAACATTTAAGTTGGCTAAATGAATCTTGTTTCATCAGTCCAATCTACCTATGGTCATAATCTTAGCTAAACCGCATGATATTTTACCTTCTCCAACTATCTCAAATTCTCAATCCGATTTAGCTCTGGTATACCTCTTTTCCAACATTAACCTTAATAGGGACCATGTCACTCTTCCTCAGCCATTCAATTATTAGCCTTTGAAGCACATGTTTAAACTATCTTAATGTCAACCTTCTTTCATTTTATCTTTAATGTGTGCTCTTTAATCCATCTCCTAAAATTTTCATTCTTAATTTTCACCTTTATTGTATTGTCACTCATATATGTCAAAAATCACATTCCTAATGCGCTCGTTTTATGAATATATTGATTGTTAGCAGCCTAATGTTCTGTTTTGTAAGGTATAGTTGGTCTAATAGCAGTTTTAGATGCGTATGAGGATCATACATTGTGCCAGAAGCAGTCCTTCATTAATCACACGGTATTCACACCTATAAGACTAACAATATTTAAACTCCACAAAGTATTAATTTAAGGTCAAATATGAGTATCTCATACTCATGTTAACCAGCCATAATGGTTAGCATGTAAACTGTTAGCTTACCTCATAGTAACGTCGAAAATATCCAGCATCACCCAATATTCCAGGATTAGTGAAGTTAACCATTGCATAGAACTCTTCTAAGTCATTCTGTAGGATAAAATGGAAATAGAAGAAGAGATAGCATTACAAAATAAGATTGAATGCTTGATAACATGTGATTTAAAAAAAAATGTACAAATAGCCCTCACCTGCATTGGAGTTCCTGATAATAAAATGCGGCGCTTGCATGAGAGAGCAGCTAATGTCTGATCCAGATTTCTTCATAAATTAACTCCAGAAGAAAAAAAGATAGAACTGCACTCCTAAAAATTCATAATAGGATAGAGCATAAATCTGCATTTCTTACTTTATTTGTGGATGTCTGATCATTTTTCAGCCGGTGAGCTTCATCACAGATGAGAAGGTCGCAGGACCCATTCTGGCTAAATTTTGAAGAATGCATCCGAAATGTTTCATAGGAAACAATCAATACCTGGGAGAATAACAAATGAATCAGTTCATAATTTCATATAACAATCAATACCTGGGAGAATAACAAACGAATTTACCTGTACCGGACTGATGGGACTGGTAAAACTATGAATTCCAGAGAGAACATCATCTCTGGTGCTTTCACAGAGCGCAACAACCTGGACTCTTTCTCCAACCCACTTCTTAATTTCAGCATCCCAGTTACTTACAAGACTGGTAGGAGTAACAATGATTGCCTTCTTAATCATTGCTTTCCCATCAAATCCCTGACGAAGAAGAGTATACAACAATGTGATTGACTGCAAAGTCTTTCCCAAACTGCAAAAACAATAACAAACTAAGAAACATGGCAAGAATGAGCACAACATAAATGTAGAAACATTTGTCATGTGAGATACCAGAAAGCATGAGATATTTACCCCATATCATCAGCCAGAATGCATCCATATATGTCGGCAGTACTACATAATCCCGAAACGCATTCAAACATGAACTGAACACCCTCTCTGCATGACAAATTACAAGGCAGGCTTTTGATAATTAAACGAAGACACAAACCAAGATATTGACACTTTCCTGAAAACTGTTGCGCCTATCATAAATATACTTGGAAGTCTAGATTGTCAATGAATTGGGATAATTAAAACCTCATAGACTAAGAAAAATGAATCCAATTTTCACAATACAGCACAGCATAGTTCCATTTTAAGGTGTGAAAAAATGTTTTTTTTTTTTTTTTTTTTTTTTTTTTTTTTTTTTTTTTTTTTTTTTTTTTTTTTCCTAGTTGGTACTCACACACACTTGTCACCCATGACCTCCCTTTGGGAGGTAAGGGGTTGATACCGCTAGGCCACTGGCCCGTTGGTGTGAAAAAATATGTTGTTATCACTAGCGTCACGAAATTCTATTAGTAATGTGGTTTTACATTTTTTAATCAAAATTCATAAGCATTAATAGCACATGAGTCCACTAAAGATGGTCATTATGCCCGATTAATCAACAGTGTTAAGAGGAGCAGATTTGATACAGGCCCAACTTTTGGCATTATTTGCGCAAAGCAGCTGCTATCAGAATTCAAGCATGCATTTTCACGCTTGACAATTTTACCACTGCACCAGGCAATGGCTCCTAGCACTTCACTCAACTATTCTTTATATAAAACACTCCTACAACCAACTCAAAAACCCTTACTATGAACAATACCTTTGATGGGGCCGAAGGAAACGAACAAGCAAGGGATCCACTACTATGGGAAACAGATTATTGGCTCCTCCTTCGCATTCTTGCGGCTGCCACAATACCAATGGTTCGACACCTTCTGGTAGACTCACAATCTCATCAGACACTTCATTCTCAATAGCACTTGGGATATTCAGCTTATCAGTAATGGCAACCAATGCTGGCCTTGTGGAACCCCAGGGAACAAACCGCTTACGAGCCCAGAGACGGCGAACAAGCTGTTCATTGTCATTGCTGTAGCCACTACCTGAGGGAGGCTTAAAAGGCTTTCTAACAACAGCTGCTCCATCCGTCACTGAAAGAACTCGTGGAAGTAGTGACTGTCTTTTCACCACAAGGTTGCCTCTGTAATTTCAAAATATTGACTTTAATTCACCAAATAAATCAAATGTGTATTTATGGAGAGTGATGAGGAATGAACATTGAATTCATATAATACTCTATCTTTGATATGTCACATTAAATAATTCCAATATAGGGAATAAGGGTACAGGTTCGATTAGTAGCAGGACTAAAGCCAATAAAGTTCTTATGTGCACCCGAAAAATAAAAGGCTAAAAAATAATTTTGAAAAAAGAAAAGTAAAAAAACCGAATTTAATACAAAAAGGCCACTACTCACTGATTTTATCTTCGTCCCTGTTAACACTGGTGCTTAGAGAGGTGAATTGTGTAAAGGCCAAACCTTCAGCATTATTTACACTAACACAAAACGGCTATTTTCAAGTACAAATCCACATTTGACTTCTGGTAGATTGAATTTTTGTCAATGGTCAAGCAATGGCGCTCAAAACATCTAAGGTATTTCTGGTTAAACTACTGTAGGAGTCTTTCCACAAAAACAGCACGGTTAACAACCATCTACTCTAAAAGCTCAAGCTGTTAAAGTTGGTGTAACTTTAATATTTGTATCCTTCAACAACCACAATAAGCAGCAATGGGACATAGTTGAGTGTCTATTTAGTTAATCCAAACTAATATATGGAACTGGCTTGCTAACCAATAAATCTACAATTATGTAAAGGAGTTAGATATATTTGAAAAGTAGCATTCTAAGATTGACACACAGAAACTGCAAAGCTAAGGCTAGAATAACCGTTCCTTGTTCCCAATAAATCTGATTGTGAAGGCAGTCACAAGGATTTTATCAGCACCACATATAAACCTGCAAGAACCATGTTTATCACTTACTTTGAACATACTCGTAAGTAGAGGGTCTCTAGCAAGCCAAATGAACATTTGATATCCATTATAGGGAAGAAGGGGACGAAGAAGAATGGAACAGATTGAAATAAAAATCTACCTCATATGAGAGTCCACGTTTTGGGATTTCATCCATCAAATTAAAATCCCTATGGAGCAACTATATCAATTCAAATAATGAAAGAAATTTTAAACCCTTCCTTACAGCCCAAAAAAAAGTACGAAACCGTACATTGGAAAACAGAGATCAGTTGTAAGAGAATGGGGTTACTAAGACAAATCAAAAGGGTTTAAATCAAATATATATATATATATATATATATATATATATATATATATATATATAATCGAGTATGCATGTATGTATGTATTGAGAAGTCGAATGTGTATATATGGAGAAAGATAAGGAATGAATCTTGAATTTACATAATATATCTTTCAAATGTCACATTAAATACTTGCAGAAGTAAAGAGACCTAGATTGAAATCCATTATAGGGAACTGAGGAGACGAATAAGAATGTAACAGATCGAAATCAAAATCTACCTCACAAGAGCGTCCACATTTTGGGATTTGCGTTCATCGTCACTGTCATTAGCAGATTCATCTAGGAGATTTTCGTGGCTTGAATCGCTGGGATCGGAGAGCGAAGAAGAGAAATCGCTTTCGTCGTCCTCGTCTTCCATACTTTGGACACTACCACGAGGCAACAGTCCTGGCCAGTCGTGACAATCATATACTCCTAAATATAGTTTTAAATTTGTTACTTTGGTGGTATAAAATATTTTAGGACCTAAAAACACCGACCGAAGTGTCGGTGAGCTGGTGGCGACCTAAGTGCGGTGGCCCGGTGGCGATCCTCTGCTGTGTCAAACTAAAGAGTATGCTACGTGGACCCCAACAAATGTGTCAACAACCCTATACACTAATTCAACCACTTTATTAAATGAATTGTACATGTTAACGTATTTAATGACTTATTTATCAATATTATATATTATACAATATTATTATTATTATTATTTTAACATTATGCAATATTATTTAGATTATTCATAATACCCCAATCAAGCAATAAATACAACACAAATACACACACACACATTAGTTAAGAAGTTAAAATATACTTGTGAGTCACAATTCCCAAAACACTCAACTATTATGGAATAGAGGAGTATTTTTCTTTAGAATTTATGTTAAAATGACCTAATTATCCATAATAATTGAGTCTAAATAAGTACCGAGTTACACGAATAGAGATAGCAACGAGGGCAGTTTTAGGCGGGTGTACCCTCCCCCGCCCTGATGTGTGTATTATCAATGATAAAATCACTCGCAATAAAACAAATCCTTGTAGGATAGGACTATGTCGAAGGTGTCGAACCTCAAGGATTATGGTGGATTGTCAAGAATAAAATTAATTCTAATCTAATTCAAGAGAAAAATGATTTAGTGTTTTATATTTCTAAATTACAATAAAACTGAAAATAAACTAAATTAGCAAAGGGTGAGATAAAAGTGAGAAGAACTTAAGGATTGATTTCACCACTATCCTCGTAACATAGTCAATTGTTTCAACTATGGGGAAATTCACATATGTATATTCGGGAATCAAGTGGTTACAAGCACACTTTAATTCAATTAAGAAGGTATATATGAATAAATAATAAGCCATAACTCATCTTCGGTTGGCATGAATTATCTACCTAATTACTCTAATCTAGGGTGTAGTATAACTCATCTTCACTAGGCATAAATTATCAAAACATTCATTCATACATATTCAATTAAGCACCACTGCATGATCACTACTTAAACCATTAAAAGAAGCCCTTAGCCGCCAATCTCTCACAATAAAAATAGTTTAAATTTTATTAAAGCAAAGTTAATTTTAAGATAAAAGATCGATTTCATCAAAAACCAATTATTTTCATTAAAACACAATTGCTTAATACAATTAAGTCAATTGCTCAAAATCATGCAATCAATATACATATAAAAATTCCTAAAGTTAAGGAACAAGCAAACCATGTTACTCAGACTAGGGTTACATCAATTCCCAAAGGAATGCTTTTTACTACTCAAAGAGAGGAAGGATGTTATCATTGTTGGTGTGGAAGCCATCTCCATGGACCGCCAATTGAAATATTCAATCTTCAAAACCCTAAAAGCTGCCACAAGGTAGGAGAATCAAGAAAGATAAGAGAGAGAGAGAGAGAGAAGAAAAAAAAAAAAAGATTCAATGTGTCTTTTCATCTTTTTTTTATAACGTAGAACAAGTCTTAATCCCCTTTAGATGGGCTTTACAGCTTCTGGAGTCATTTGGCCCCGTTTAGACCAAAAAGGAGTGTTTCTTGCATGTGTTTTTAAGTTCCAGGATGACAGTGCTCGAGCATAGTCTCTGTAATGATCAGGTCATTTTCCTTCCTTTCCTTTTTCCTTAAATTTTACGGATGAATTTTTTTCGTTGTATTTTCTTTTCTATGTTTGGTTTCTCGTCACTTAGTGTCGTCTCGATTGCTCGAAAATGGTTTCCGAGACTCTTTCCTTTGGATTGACAACTTCCTTTAAGAACCGAGTCATTTTCACATTTTTCGTTTTTCGACACTATTCACCTTTCGTCTTTTTCCCGTTTGTCACTTTGTTGGTGTAACCTCACTTTTTGTGCTCAGAGTTGATTTCCGACTTCACGTACCTTCATCTTATGTGGTTTCCATGAAATACTTATCTTTACTTTTGTAGAAAAGTACTCTGGTTGCTCCCGATGTTTATAGGGCATGGATGCATAGTTCTTCAGAAATATTTTTTATATTTCTTGGAGTGTTTTTCGTAAATATCTTTTGAAGATATTTTATTTCATGGGTTTTTAAGAAAATATTTTTAGAAGATATTTTCTTTTTGGGCTAGTTTTGTAGTTACCCTTTCTTGGAGGGGTCATTGTGCAATTAACGAAAGTTATTACAAAAATGCCTTGTTTTGGGCCTGGATCCTTATACGAGATTCATTTTCACATTTCGTTGAGTCGCGTGCTCTTAGAATTTCCTCCTAGTCGTTTTTTTCCAGTTTTAGGGTTTCTGACCCTAGTTGCCGCCGAACTTGTTTGGGGTATATCTTTTTACTCGGGAATCAATTTTCGACTTCGTTTCTTCCTTTATTCATTTTTATTTCATTTCGGTTCTTTTTCGTTCATGGTGTTTTGCCTTTTGAGCCCATCTGCTCAAATTTCACTTTTTCGAACCCGGTGGGACCCGTTCGGGGTACTTTTAGAGTTTTCTATAAATAGGGTGACTTAAGATGAAAAATTAGATTTTCTCATCTCTTACCCCTCTCTTGGTCGGCAGTCATGGCAGGGGGCTACCACCCTTCTTCTTCTTTTTTCGGCCTTTTCCCTCGTGATAAATGTCGTAGTGTCTTAGTGTTTATTATAGGCCTTGGTGAGATCTTCCTTTCCCCCTTATTAGAATCCATTTCCGACCATTTTTTAGTTCGGGTTTCGAGTTCGGGTTTGGATTTTCATGGTACCTCAAAGGTTAAAATTGTTCATCTTGTTGTCTCTGACATAACCTAGGAGTATCGTCAGATTCGAAACACTTTTCTTTCGGTGGGGATTTGAGATTTCATCCCAAATTGAGGTAGGGGATGTCATAGGCTTATATTTGAGTTGTATTGATTGTTTTATAAGCTTATACAACTTGTATGCATGTTTTGTATTAATCCTAAAATTTAATTTAATTATTTTCTTTATATATGATTTAATTCTCAAGGTTCTGTATAACTTATAATTAAATTATGGAATACTAGTAAATTTGGCCTTGGTATGTTTGTTGACATATATTAAATTGGGAGCATTTGACTAAGAATTGCAGCTTTTATTTAATATTTTTCTTTTATGAAAGTTTAATTTACATGGTTGTAACTTGCATGAAAATCAACTTGTAATGTGATATTAAATTAGGATTAGGTGAGTTCTTTAACATATGTTAAATTGAGAGCATTTGGAGTTGTTTAAAAATTTAGAGGAAATTAATTAATTAGCTTAATTAATTTTATTTTAAGTGTTTTAATCACTTAATTAGTTATTTGATGTGATATATGTGATGACCATGCTATGTCTTTTAACATATATTAATTTGAGATTATTTGGAATTGATTTGGAATCTAGAGAATTTAATTATTTTTATTTAATTAAATTCTATCTAATTGCTCCATGGATTTAATTGTATTTTAGAAGTTGTTTCTATATTTAAATCATGGATTTGGACTTGTTATATATTCATTTGGTACGTTTTGAGCATTGGATAACATTATTGTTATATTTAGATTTATGAGTTTATGTTTTAAATATTGAGTGACATTGTTATAGCATGTAACGAATCACACATTAAAGATTCGACATTTGTCATGCCATAGTAGTTGTGGACTAAAAGCATCTATTGTATGTGTTTCCGAATTCGGTTGTGCATTATAGGTAGTTGATTATCTTATATATACATGTTGATATATACGTTGTTGCACAACTTGTTGATTTTAGAAACTTGGGACGTCGTTGTATGACTACGGCTAGGGCATGGTTTTAGTACGGGGGATTGTCCCCCTATGGTCTAGTGCACACATAGGGAGGTTACCCGTGAGCTAATAACCCTAAAGTAACCACGTTGTCGGTCTGATCCGGCGTGATGTCCGAGTATCCACCTTGTTTGATTTCGCATTTCATTTCAAGTTGATAACTAGATGATGATATAAATTATTGTTCTTCTTTGATTTTCCATTTTAAGTTTCAAGATGTTAACTTTGAGAAATCATGATTTTGGTGTGCTATATGTGAAAGATATTATAAGTTTGCATGGGTTCCAGTATCTATTGTTTCGGATTGGGATGCCAAGTTTACTTCAAAGTTCTGGGAAGGACTTCAAGCAACGTTTGGCTCACCGTTGTATTTCAATACGACATTCCATCCACAAACGGATGGCTAGTCAGAGCGTACCATCCAGATCTTGGAGGATATGCTTTAAGCATGTGTGCTTGATTTGGGAGGTAGTTGGGAGGATCACCTTCTACTTATTGAGTTTGCCTACAATTACAGTTATTAGGCTAGCATTCAAATGGCTTCATTTGAGGCGTTGTATGACAGACCTCGTAGGCCGGTCTCTTGTTTGTTGGACTGAGGTGTAACAAACCAAATCCTCATGGATCCGGATCATTAAACGGGTCCTTACCTAACCCAAAATCATCCGAGGGTAAAATGGTCTTTTCACATTAAATTTAAATATCAAGCCCGAAAAGGGCAAAATGGTAATTTACCACAATTCAATAAATTGAGACTCAAGGGTACAACGGTCATTAACGTATATCACATAGTAAATAAAATAAGGTTCGGGGCAATATAGTCCTTTCGGAGGTTAAAATATAATTATGGCATTTTAGTGGGTCATAAAATAATTATTTAGAACTTCAAATGGGTGCCAAAGTGTAATTTGGGAAATTAAATACATACTACTTGAGTGGCATAAACTGGTCCACGTTTCCACACCATATGTCGACTGGTTTGGGTATGAACAGTGGGAAAACCCACTGCCAAGATACCGGTCGACGTATGGGAAGCCATACGTCGACTGGTTTGGAACGTGTACAAGATTACCACACTGTAAGATACCGGTCGACGTATGGGGAGCCATACGTCGACTGGTTTGGGTCATTCACGTTCAAAATACTTACTGTCAGGACACTGGTCGACGTATGGGATGCCAGACTCGGTTGCCACTGTCCAAAGAAAAACCAAACACTTGATGCTCAACCACCCACGCCCACGCCATTACAC